TCTATAAAGTGTTTTATCTTTGTCATTGTGATCTATAACTTACTCAGATCTGTAATGTGTTTTATCTTTGTCATTGTGATCTATAACTTACTCAGATCTGTAATGTGTTTTATCTTTGTCATTGTGATCTATAACTTACTCAGATCTATAAGGTGTCTTATCTTTGTTATTATGATCTATAACTTACTCAGTTCTATAAAGTTTCTTGTCTTTGTTATTGTGATCTATAACTTACTCAGATCTATAAGGTGTCTTATCTTTGTTATTATGATCTATAACTTACTCAGAGCTATAAAGTTTCTTGTCTTTGTTATTGTGATCTATAACTTTCTCAGATCTATAAGGTGTGTTATCTTTGTTATTGTGATCTATAACTTTCTCAGATCTATAAGGTGTCTTATCTTTGTTATTATGATCTATAACTTACTCAGATCTCTAAAGTTTCTTATCTTTGTTATTATGATACATAGCTTACTCAGATCTATAAGGTGTCTTATCTTTGTTATTTTCCGTGTATTTTTTATTTCCGTTTTATCAACAACTATCTTAGATCACGTTTGTTCAGAATTATTGTAGACTTTGGTACGCACTGACCTGAATAACAATTATACTGTTTATAATAACAGTTAACCTGAATAACAGTTATAATGTTTATAATAACAGTTAACCTGAATAACAGTTATAATGTTTATAATAACAGTTAACCTGAATAACAGTTATAATGTTTTAAAGAAACTCCTTTCGTTGTTTGAATATGTAGAATATTTTAATCGTGAAGAAAGGCAGGTGTTATAGTTTCATCTGTGCGTGGTTGATTAAAGAACTCTGTATTAAAATATATTTTTTAAATAATGCTACCAGCAACTGACAAAGAAAATCAAGAAAACATTGGATTTAAGAAATATTGGTCTGTATTCTGTGTTCTTTGATGTCTAACACAAGAGCGGATATGAAAACCGAGAGCAGACTCGACGTTTTTATTATTTATTGTTTAATATTTCAAGACAATTATGTTCTCGAGAGAAACAAAAAAAAATCCATTTCTCTTTGCGAAATAACACTGATAACTGTGGGCAAATGTAAGTCACTGTGAGGTAATATTTAATATCCAGTAAAATAACATTAATACAGCTGTAAACTTCAAGACGTTATATTTACAATGCTACATTGTTCTAACTGTACTGAAGTCATGAGAGTAAAATAAAACTAATGTTGTTGTACGGACTGTAGTTACAATGCTACATTGTTCTAACTGTACTGAAGTCGTGAATGCTTGTTTGTAAATTGTAGTCCCTAGCTGTATCTACAGCGTTGTAAATTGTAGTCCCCAGCTGTATTTACTATGTTGTAAATTGTAGTCCTTAGCTGTATTTACAGCGTTGTAAATTGTAGTCCCTAGCTATATTTACAGTGTTGTAAATTGTAGTCCCTAGCTATATTTACAGTGTTGTAAATTGTAGTCCTTAGCTGCATTTACTGTGTTGTAAATTGTAGTCCCTAGCTGTATTTACTGTGTTGTAAATTGTAGTCCCTAACTGTATTTACAGCGTCGTAAATTGTAGTCCCTAGCTGTATTTACTGTGTTGTAAATTGTACATCCTAGCTGTATTTACTGTGTTGTAAATTGTACTCCCTAGCTGTATTTACTGTGTTATAAATTGTAATCCCTAACTGTATTTACAGTGTTTTAATTTGTGCTCCCTAACTGTATTTACTGTGTTTTAATTTGTGCTCCCCAGCTGTATTTACTGTGTTGTAAATTGTAATCCCTAGCTGTATTTACAGAGTTGTAAATTGTACTCCCTAGCTGTTTTTACAGTGTGCTACTGTAATTTGTCAGTTTTTACATAATTTATATTGTGTATCACATATATATTGTTTAATTTTTATATTTTAGAGATAAGTTTTAGTGGGAAAATTATCCTTACGTTAAAAATAAGACAAAAGTAACAGAAACCATTGGTGTTGTTAACTTTATACATAATAAAAAATTAGTTGTTATATTCATTTATTTAAGTGAGATCACAGCTGATTAAACATTCAAGACATATAAGATCAAAGCTGAATAAAACTCAATACCCTAATTATAACAATGTAGTTAAAACTGGTACACAATTAAAAACATTTTATTTAGGCCTATCTATGGCCTTTAAAAAGTTGACGATTCGAAATGATGTATTTAAGTGTTTTACACTCACAAAAAGAAACTTATCATTCTATAGGTATTTGAAGAATTTAATTATTTTTATTGTTAGACAACATTCTTTATTCGATACCTCACTACTATAAGGCTTGGTTTGATACGATATTTCATTGGTGGTATTGTCCAAGGTCACTGATGAGGAGTAGAATTCTTCGAAACTAGTCTGGTTCACAGACACACTCCCAAATGAAAGAACAGACGATTTCAAAGCTTTTTACCTGTTGTTAAACAAATGTTTAAACAACTCTGTTCAATTACACGATATTGTTATTGTAAGTTGGGAATAATTACCACCGTTTTTTTGTTACATTTAACAATATTACCAATACTACGTTCTTTCCCCCTAGTTTCATCTCGGGGATAGTTTTATCTCTTACATGACTACAACCAACTCAGAGATCTGAAGATCGATACGTAGGGATTGAAGACATTACTTAATACTAGTGATTAGGTCCAGTGACATTACTTAATACCAGTGATTAGATCCAGTGACATTACTTAATCCTAGTGGTTAAGTCCAGTAACATTACTTAATACCAGTGATTAGGTCCAGTGACATTACTTAATCTTAGTGATTAGGTCCAGTGACATTACTTAATCTTAGTGATTAGGTCCAGTGACATTACTTAATACCAGTGGTTAAGTCCAGTGACATTACTTAATCTTAGTGATTAGGTCCAGTGACATTACTTAATACTAGTGTTAGGTCCAGTGACATTACTTAATCCTAGTGATTGGGTCCAGTGACATTACTTAATCTTAGTGATTAGGTCCAGTGACATTACTTAATACTCGGAGTAGGATGGACTTAATCCTAGTGATTAGGTCCAGTGACATTACTTAATCCTAGTGATTAGGTCCAGTGACATTACTTAATCCTAGTGATTGGGTCCAGTGACATTACTTAATCTTAGTGATTAGGTCCAGTGACATTACTTAATACTCGGAGTAGGATGGACTGTTTCATTACTGGGCTACCTTCGCTTATAGCAACATTTTCGGCCATAACTTACTTTAGTGCGTTAACGAAGCTCAGCATGTTATTTTCTTTCTTTTTTTGACCAAAATAAATACTGGTTACAATAATAAAAAATTCTATCTTTTGTTTTCGCTACTGAAAGGAGTCGCTGGAGTGGTTTCGAGGGACCCCCTTCAAGGCCCATTATTTTCCTTGGAACCCAGCCATTTGGTACAGTTTGGTAATAATAGCGGCGCTGAAATTAAGTGTTTAGCAACCGGAAGTCCCTGGCCTACATTACAGTGGACCACTAGGGAAGGCCAACACATCCAAGACATCACCGGAATCAGGTACGTCACAGCGGACGGGTCATTGGTCTTCTCGCCCTTCAAACCAGACGATTACCGTCAGGATATCCACGCTGCTGTGTACACGTGTGTGGCGTCGAACAAAGTCGGTTCCATTAGAAGCAGAGACGTACAGGTTCGCGCAGGTAAGGTTTGGTTTCAGTTTTGTTTCCACTGATTTCTATGCCCATGTGTCAATTATTTAAACTGGCTGGAACACTTTTTGTTTATCTTGCATTCGTTTGAGATTCTAGTTTTATAAGCGGCTACTCCGTATGACGTCAGTACAGTAAGTGACCCCCCTGGTGGCTGTCTAGCCAGATTATTAACACAATTTCCTATCGCTGATTCAATCACTTGAAAATCAACACAGATCTCTATAAGATTGTACGTTACTCTGTGTATAACGGACGGCTGTTTGTATGAACGTCTCTTGCAATGTGCTGGTTCACTGGAAGAGCCTGTCAGTATATTTCATTGATGGAACGATAGCTACTTTATTACCTACCTCATATGTATATATTTCGGTCACTGATTGATACCATGATATCTTTGTTTTTGTAAATCAAGATCATCAAACACACGAGTACAAACAACCTATCGTTATCAGATCATCAAACACACGGATACAAACAACCTATCGTTATCAGATCATCAAACACTCGAGTACAAACAACTTATCGTTATCAGATCATCAAACACACAGGTACAAACAATCTATCGTTATCAGATCATCAAACACACAAGTACAAACAACTTATCGTTATCATCACATCAAACACACGGATACAAACAACCTATCATTATCAGATCATCAAACACATCGAGTACGTGTTTGATGATCTGATAACGATAGGTTGTTTTGTTTGATGATCTGATAACGATAGTTGTTTGTACTCGAGTGTTTGATGATCTGATAACGATAGGTTGTTTGTACTCGTGTGTTTGATGATCTGATAACGATAGGTTGTTTGTATCCGTCCATGGGTACAAACAACCTATCGTTATGAGATCATCAAACACACAGGTGCAAACAACTTATCGTTATCATCACATCAAACACACGGATACATATAACCTATCATCATCACATACGCGGACACAAAGAGGATATCATCATCAGACACACAACTAAACAGTTTTCCTTGATAAAATGGCATGCTTGAATTATCATCATCAGTTACATATAAATAAAAAACTCATCATTATCATCATCATTTTCAGTGGTAGCTCATTTTAGGAATCGGAGACTTAGTCAAACCATCTTCCAAAACAAGTACTTTGATCCTTACATAGCCACATACGATACACTACATGTTACACACCTTCTTCTTGTAATAAGTTCGTCCTTACCATCTTCTCAGGTGAGTCCATTGTGTATGTTTGGGTAGAGGATACACTACATGTTACACACCTTCTTCTTGTAATAAGTTCGTCCTTACCATCTTCTCAGGTGAGTCCATTGTGCA